CCTTCCATAAAAATAAAATCACACAGAATATGTAATATGTATTAGGATTAAAAACGGGGTTTCACATAATATGTCCTTACATTTGTTGGCTTTCGTGTCAACAAAAACTGCATCTTGACTCCTAAATCTTGAACAATTTCCCCACAAACTAACAATTACAAGCGGATTCTTGATCTTTTTAAATGCTTCGGCAATCACATTAACATTCTGAGAATTATGCCTCCATCTTCTGCGAAGGGAATCACAAAATTCTTAAGGCAGTTTGCTGGAAATATGGTTCCTACCGAGCAAGCCAAAGAGCAAATTTGCATAGTTCCCAAAATTCAAATGAAGCAAACACACTATTACAACCAATCTCAAAACAACAAATGAATGATAATGTTTCACACTTGCATGAGAGTTTCTGATCCATTCCATTGTGTCCTTCTCGTGGTGAGAGAATTGCAAAACAATGTGGAAAACAAGTTCAAGTACATGTCTCAAGCATTGTTGCACATCAATCTGTAAGCCTGAAGCTAGGTTGGTGTTCCCCTCCTGGTAAATAAGCCAATCAACAAAAGATAACTATGTGGTTAAGAGATACCCATGGTCCCAGATGCTAGACAACATAATCCAAAATCGCTCAATAAGATATAGAAAATTAGAAGGTGATATATATCCATTCTTCCAGTCAGCATCATAAGTATGTTTCAAAGCTCCAAAGAACTTCTGAACAAGTTCAATGTTATTGCATGATCCAATATTCCCAGAGAGGCTCTCTACAAATTCCTTCCAGGGTGTAATTTCACTAAAACTTTTTGCAACATTCTCAAATACCTCGTTATTTGGTTTACCAAACTCGAGAATCATAACTGTTGGAAACTATGTATATATGTAGTCAAGGGTATATATGTAATTGTAGTGTGTGTGTATATATGTTAGGTTGTACTATTGAGAAGATAGAAAAATAGAAACTAAAAAATGAAAATATTCAAAACATTGTATCAGAGCGGGACTAAACCCTAAAACCCATTTCTACGTTTCTATTTTCCGACGGCTGGTGATTCCGATGAACCTTTTGTCCATGGTTTCTCTCTTTCCAATGACGTCCGAACCTTTCCGATGAACCCTCGACCTCCTCTATTATCTCCAGCGATGTCTGCTCTTGGTTTTTCCCTTTCTGACGACTTTTGTTCTCGGCCTCTCCCTTTCCGGCAAATTTTGGTTCTGTTCTAGTTAACTTGTCCTCTTCTTCTCCTCATTCTTGCGATTTATCCTCTGGTTCCTCTTTGTTCATCTTGATTTTTTGACAACACAATCCATCTGCTTCCTCTGATGACGTGATTTCTTTGCTCTTTCCGATGGCTAGCAATTTCTCCTCTGGTTTCTCTCCTCTACTGTTCTTGGTGATTCCTTTTGCAAGAAAGTGGTTCATATCTTTCTGGTTGTTTGAGATTGGGGTGCATTTGTGTTTGCTTAGGTTGTTTGGTGTTGAGGTTGTTGTGAATTTATGAAGTTGGGAGTTATTTGACCTTGTTGATTGCTAGACAATATGGTAGATGACGGTAAGAAGATGGCAACTGAAATTGTCACTTCTTCCACCAAAATCATTGATCGGAAGTTATTGGGCAAAAGTAATTATATTCAATGGAAACGGATTATTCGACGATATGTGTCCAGCATTGACGTGGGAGACCATTTAATCGAGGATCCACCTAAGGTAACAAAAAGTGATAATAAAACTTGAAAAAAAATGGTTCATGGAAAATGATGAGCTCTTCAATCAGATTTAGAACACTCTTGATTCGTCCAGGGATGATATGACTAGTCACTGTAATACCATCAAATAGTTATGGGAGTATCTAGAGTTCTTGTATGCTAGTAAACAAGACTTGTCTCATGCCCATAAATTGTTATTGAAGATCTACCGAGCAAATATGCAAGAGAAGATGTTGCTCAAATATTATACAGAGATAAAACAAGCCTTTGAAGAAAAAAAGGCTATGTTTCCTGTCCCTACTAATGTGAAGATGATGCAAGCATAAGAAGAACAAGTGGTAGTGCAATGATTTCTGGCTGGGTTGAGGCCGGAATATGGGATAGCTCATACACAGCTTCTTACCGGCGAGACATTTCCCTCTCTTACGGATGTCTTTGCTTGACTTCTTAGAGTTAGTAAGGGGGAAGATCAAGGAGTTTCTAAGGACAAAGAAACCCTTAAGGATCCTAATGTAGATCATGCGGCCCTAGTTAGCATGAAACCTAGTGATGGCAAAGGCAACAAAAGGGCAAGTCGTGACATCGGGAGCAATAGTGGTAATGGCCCTCGTACTTGCTTTCATTGTGGTGTTAAGAGTGACGTAAAAAAGAATTGTTGGAAGCTCCATGGCAAGCCCTCGAATGTGCAAGGCACTCAAAATTTTGCTCATGTTGCAACTCAAGATGGTCTCTTACCCACCCCATCACAGGTTACTATCTCTATAGCTAAATATGCTCGCCTCACTCAAAATTCTAGCTCCCAGTCACCCATCCCATCGACTACCACTACATTAACCCAGTTAGGTAATCCTACAGCCTGTTTGTCTAGTTTTAGTAGTAACTAGGTCATTGATTCTGGTGCTACTCACCATATGACGGGCGATACATGTATTCTCTCCTCATTTACACCTTCCTCCGACTTGTCTTCTATTACCTTAACTAACGAGTCTACTGCACCTATTATTGGATGTGGTACCGCTAATCTCACCAAATCTATATCTCTCTCCTCTCTTTTGTGCCTTGATCATTTTCCCTTTAACCTATTATTTGTTAGTCAAATTACTAATATGTTCAACTGTGGTGTTTATTTTTTTCCTACTCATTATATATTTCAGGATTTTGGGATGAGGCAGATTATTGGTAGTTGTCGTGTATCAAGTGGCCTGTATATGCTCAATGATGTCTCAACTCCAATTTCTCAACCTGTTGCGTGTACCAATGATTTATCTCTATCCATATTACATGGTCGCCTTGGTCATCCCTCCCTCCCCATTTTGAAAAAGTTGTGTCCTAGTGTAAGGTCAACGTCACACCTTGAGTGTGGGGCGTGTCAGTTTGGGAAACACCATCGTGTGTCCTATAGCCCTAGGATAAACAAAAGAGTCACAACCTCTTTTGATGTTATACATTCTGATGTTTGGGGTCATTGCCCTATATTGTCTAAGTTTGGTTATCGATACTTTGTTACTTTTGTGGATGATTTTTCACGTATGACTTGGTTATACTTTATGAAAAATCGTTCTGAATTATTCTCCATATTTTGTACCTTTTATGCTGAAATACAAAATCAATTTACTTTATCTATTAAAATTTTCAAAAGTGATAATGCCAAAGAATACTTTTCTGCACCTTTCTCCTCGTTTTTTGTCTACTAGAGGTATTATTCATCAATCATCATGTGTATATACACCTCAGCAAAATGGGGTTGCTAAACGAAAAACTTCATTTATTAGAAGTTGCTCGTACTCTCTTCTTTCACATGAAAGTCTCTACAGAGTTTGGGCAAATGTTGTCTCTACTGTATGTCACTTGATCAATCACATGCCTTCCTCTATTTTGGGTGGTCAAATCCCCCACTCCATCCTTTTTCCATCTCAGCCTTTATTCTTCCTTCCTCCTAAAGTGTTTGGGTGCACGTGCGTTGTTCAAGATGTTAGACCCCATGTCTCCAAATTAGAACCTAGATTCCTCAAGCGCATATTCTTGGGTTATTCCCAATATCGAAAGGGTTATCGTTGCTTTTCTCTTGTCCTAGGTAAGTACCTTGTCTCAACTGATGTTTCCTTTTTTGAAACCACTCCATATGTTGAGTCCTCTATTCCATCTACTTCTCTTAAAGCCCCCCTGATGATTTTCTTGTTCACAACATTACCCGTCATAGTCCTCTACCATCTCGTCCTCCTATCACCCAGTTATACTCTCGCAAGGTTCACTAGTACCATGAGGCACCTACATCAGCATCTGATCCACTGCCTCTATCGTCTACCTCGCCCTCAAATTCGATTCCTCTTGCTTTTGGCCTAGATCTTACCATTGCTCTTCGTAAAGGAAAGTGCTCTTGTACCTCTCCTATCTCCTCATTTGTTTACTATCACTCTTTGTCTTCATCTTCCAAGTCTTTTATTGCCTCTTTAGATTCTGAGTCTGTTCCCAGCTCTATGTCTGAAGCAATTACTCATGATGGGTGGCAAAGGGCAATGGAAGAAGAGATGTTGGCTCTAGAACATAATGATGCAGTGTTCTAATGGATTTACCAAAAATAAAAAGGACATTGGGTGCAAATAGGTTTTCACAGTGAAGGCTAATGGGTCTATGGCTCGGTTGAAAGTTGGGTTGGTTGCTAAGGGTTCTACCCAGACATATGGCATTGATTACTCTAAGAAATTTTCCCTAATGGGTAAAATGACCTCTATCCGGCTATTTATCTCACATGCAGCTTCATATAGTTGGCCTCGTCACCAACTTGACGTAAAAAATGCCTTTTTACAAGGTGATATTCTTGAAGAGGTTTGCATGGAGCAACCTCCGGGGTTTGTTGCTTAGGGGGAGTCAGGAAAGGTGTGCAAACTAAGGAAATCTTTATATGGCTTAAAACAATCTCCACAGGCTTGGTTTGGGAGGTTCAGCGAAGTGGTGACTCAGTCTAGTTTACATAAGAGTGCTTATAATCATTATGTCTTTTATAAGCAGTCTAGTTCTGGCATCATTCTTTTGGTTGTTTAGGTTGCTGACATCTTTATAAAGTCTCTAATTGATAAAAGGGTAACCTATATTTGTAACAAGCTAGGCATGATAAATATATATGCTCCAGCTTGAGGGGGAGTGTTGGAAACTATGCATATATGTAGTCAAGGGTATATATGTAATTGTAGTGTGTGTGTATATATATGTTAGGCTGTACTGTTGAGAAGATAGAAAAATAGAAATTGAAAAATGCAAATATTCAAAACAATAACTACCACACTTCCAATCTACCAATAAGATAACTGACTTCTCAAGCTAATATTTTGAAAAATAACTTCTTTAATTATATTCCTACAAATCCCAGTTCCTCTCACAGAAATCAAGTTCCCTTTAAGTGATTCTCGCCAGTCTAGAGGAAATATGAAGTCAAAGAATTGCCTCGATGATAGTTCAACAAAATTTTGTAGTGCCTTAGTATCATAATACCGGTAATGCAGAAATTTGGAACTCAAAAGAGATTTTGAAACTTCATAGATGTAAGTAGAATTTATGACTTTGCAAAACACAGACGATGAATTCTCAAATGACTGCTGACAAAAGGTATCTAGATTTTCCAACACCTTCATACCAACAAAAAGTAACTCTGAACTCCAATAACTCCGAGCAGCGGAGACAAGCTTGCTAACATCAATTGAAACCAACTTCTCGCTCATTTGAGCACATCTTTTGTCCACCTCTCTAATCCACTCTGCATCTGGGTTCAAAAAAAGATACTTGGTACACAGCCCGCGCCCGTCTACATTGCCTTCCCTTTAACACTCCTGCTCTGCTGCAAGAATAGCTGATTCAAGTGAGGCTCCACTGTTTGCCTTGTTGACTGCAACCTCTTGCAAACTTCTCTAATTGTTGAAACGTTGTTCTCCACTTGCTGACCACTGAAATTAATTATTTTTCAAAAAAATATTAAGTGTTTAAATGGCTCTACAATAATCTAACCACCAAATAAATACAAATGCAAATTGTCATGCAACAACTTCGAGTCATAACCAACAATTGGCAAACAGATGCCAAAATTTGGGATGATATTGTAAAGACTAAAGCACCATATTTAAACTGACCTTCCATCTAATCCAGCATAAAGTTGCTTCAATTCCTTGAGCATGCTGACTGCTTCATCCATTTGGCTTTTCAGATGGTTCTTCTGAACGTTTCCACATTCCATTGCAGTAGTTAAAAGGCGAATACATTTGTCTACATCCAACTGTAAAATCACAAAATAATAAATCCAACGCTCATCATTCAACTGATGTGAAAAAAGAAATGGCACTACCTTAACTCTTGGGGCATTCAAAAAAATGCTCTTTTGATCTTCTGCATTTCCTATCAAATCTAACGCTTCAAGTGTTTCCAAGAAAACTCCAGGGTCTATGAGCTCTTTATCCTCATTTATGGTCCGGGTGATTGAATCCTTATTTGGAAGGATAGCAGAATTTGAAGACGGAAGAATCGAACTCAACCCTTGGCCACGACAGTCTGACGAAGAGATAATGTAGTGCAAATAAGCATCTTCCAGTTTAGCTCCAGAATGGCCTTGAGAAGCTTCAGACTTCGGAAACATAATACCTAATATCTCCTTACATTTCCTGGCTTTCATGTCAACAAAAACTGCATCTTGACACCTAAATCTTGAACAATTTCCCCCTAAACTCACAATTACAAGCGGATTCCTGATCCTTTTAAATGCTTCGGCAATCACATTAACATTCAGAGAATTAGGCCGCCACCATTTTCTGCGAAGGGAATCACAAAATTCCCAAGGCAGTTTGTTGTAAATATTGTTCCTGCCGAGCAAGCCAAAGAGCAAATTTTCATAGTTCCCAAAATTCAAATGAAGCAAACACACTATTACAACCAATCTCAAAACAACAAATGAATGATAATGTTTCACACTTGTATGAAAGTTTCTGATCCATTCCATTGTGTCCTGCTCATGGTAAAGGAACTGCGAAACAATGTGGACAAAAAAGTGAAGTACATGTCTCAAGGATTGTTGCACATCAATCTGCAAGGTTGAAGCTGGGTTGGTGTTCCCCTGCTGGTAGATAAGCCAATCCACAACAGATGACTGTGAGGTTAAGATATACCCGTGGCCCTGGATGCTAGACAACATAATCAAAAACCGCTCAATAAGATACAGAAAATTAGAAGGTGATATATATCCTATCCTCCAGTTGGCATCATAAATATCTTTCAAAGCTCCAAAGAACTTCTGAACAAGTTCAATGTTATTGCATGATCCCATATTCCCAGAGAGGCTCTCCACAAATTCCTTCCATGGTGTATTTTCATTAAAGCTTTTTGCAACATTCTCCAATACCTCATTATTCAGCTTACCAGACCCGAGAATCATAACTACCACACTTCCAATCTGCCCATAAGATAACTGACTTCTCAAGCCAATATTTTGAAAAATAACTTCTTTAATTATATTCCTACAAGTCTCAGTTCCTCTCAAAGAAATCAAGTTCCCCTTCAGTGATTCTTGCCAGTCTAGAGGAAATATGAAGTCAAAGAATTGCTTCGTTGATAGTTCAACAAAATTTTGTAGTGCCTTAGTATCATAATGCTGGTGACGCAGAAATTTGGAATTCAAAAGAGATTTTGAAACTTCATAGATGTAAGTAGAATTTCTAACTTTGCAGAACACAGACGATGAATTCTCCAATGACTGCTTATGAAAGGCATCTAGATTTTCCAACACCTTCATACCAACAAAAAGTAACTCTGAACTCCAATAATTCCGAGCAGCAGAGACAAGCTTGCTGACATCAATTGAAACCAACTTCTCGCTCGTTTGAGCACATCTTTTCTCCACCTCACTAATCCACTCTGCATCTGGGTTCAGCAAAAGATACTTGGTACCAAGATTGCTATATTGCTTCCATACACTAAGGTAGTTCAAGCAGAAGTCACCGTAACGTCTGCAGTTGCTAACATCTCGTGTTTGTAGATGCTCAAGATACTCAAGTATCTTCACAATCATATTCTTCCAGTAATTCCAAAAGTAGACAAGGGTCTCAACAGAAACCTGGTTTCTATGAATTGTGTCTTCTGAATATGCTACGAGATCAGAAACTAATTCGTCTTCCCAACCATAGTCAGAGGTACTTAAATGAAGATGGAAATCTAAAATCTTTCGAATAGATAATATTTCACCTCTGATACTCTGATGTCTCTTTGAAGCATTCAATTGATGACTCAGCATGAATAGGTTGCACTGCTCATTCGATAAAATGTCAGCTTCATTTCGAACAAATTCAGAAAATTGGTTCGAGTCATTCTCCGCCAGTGACTTGGCTTTTCCCAAAAGCTCCTGCTTTTCTCTAAACTGCTTCAAAGGCCAACCTTTGCTCCCAGGTGACCATAGGGAATTGGAAAACACGTAATGAAGTATAAGTGCAGATGCTTCTTTGAAATTCCCAGCTTTCTGTAGCAAATCAGCTGCACGGAGAATATCTCCTCTCATTTTTGCAATATTTGAAGCATCCACGAAGTTTCCCGACTCTTCTTCCAACAATAGAAGTTCATCAAAGCAATTCAACGACTTCAAAAAGTTATGTTTCAAATCCATTGAATGAAAAGCTTTCACAAATTTCATCATGGATTTGCTATCTTTGAGCTCATGATGATGAAAAGCGCACCTCTCCAGAAAGTCTTGTACAATTTTGTTCATTTTTTCACTTCTTTGGACAGTACCAACATCTGTACTGGCATGTTGTTTCCAATAATGGATGTACTGCAATCCAACATCGAAAAGCTTTCCTTCAAAGCAAACAGTCAAACAATCTAGAAAAAAATTGCCCTGGGCATACACCTCTACTGCAAGCTCATAGCATCCTGCAAGACGAAAACATTCCCCCGCCCTTTCCAGCTCTGGTTCCTCACATTTTTCCAAATAAATCCTACCTGCAGGAACAAGAAATTGAAGTCTTAACATCAAATTTAGTAACCTGAAAAGCAGCACTTTTCGCCATTGACTACTATAACAAGGGCAAGAAGTTCCTGGAGAAAAAAAAAATTAGTATGGAAGAATCTTATTGCAACAGGTCACACTCTGAAAAACTGAAAATAGGTCTCCAGTCACTTTTGGTGCAGGAATGGAACTAGCGACAAAGAAAGCTTCTAAACTCATTTCACACTAAACCTTTGATAAGACTGCAACAATTTTACAGTAGATTGCATACCAAAACTTTCTTATAAAACAACAACTGCATCTGGAGAACGTCTAAAAGAAATCTATGGTCTATTCTAAACAATAAGTATGTTTAACATATCAAATTCCTGTAGTCAAAAAACATATCAGCAACAAACCATCAGATAGGAAAAACTTCTGAGATGATATCTAAATTTTCACAGTAACTATAATTAAGTAAAGAAGTATATCCATAACACTGCAGCACATAAAGACAGCAAGTTATATTCCATCAAAATAATCAATATCCAATTCATACCTGCTCTTTCATACTCTCCCAGCTCATAAAAACATTTGGCAGCAGAATTGGCCTTGTGTATGGCTTCAAATTTTATAGCAGCTTGCCTTAGTTTATTATTAGCCTCTTCAGGGTTCAAACTGCGGATGCGGTCAGCATCGGCTTTAAGGGCAGTAGCTTTACACCTTTCTTCCCAGTAAAAATCTTTAGCTCTTTCGAAGCATTTAGTTGCCATTTCATAGTTACGCTCATGAAACAGCTGGAAGTAACAAATAATTGCCAAAAGAGAAAAAAGAATATTTAGTATCACCAAGAAAAGTAAAGTGGCTTCCTAACTTGTACGCACTCCTACCACAAACAAAATATGAATGTCAAATGGCTCATGACTGAGATTTTTCGAAGCAGCGTATATGACGCAGTCTAAATATGAATGTGAAATGGCTCAGCTAGGAAAAGGGTACCAGAATTGGAGAGATGAAGATGAAAATAGCAGTAGTGCAATAGCAAAACGTATTCCAGAATATGTCAGGTCAAATAAAAAGGTTTCGCAATTTAAAGCATGGCACTAACAGTAGACAACAACGATGACAATAACAGCTTGGGAAAAAAAAAAAAAAGACCTTGATGCCCTGCGATTTCCACTCTTCTGGAGTACTCGCAACTTGCATTGCATGTGCAAATGAATCATCCAGCTGTTTGACTTCAACAAGAGACTTCTTCTTCCAATAGTCAACATAGGTTGTAGACTTCCTCCCTATCCCCCAGATCCATAACCTTTGCCTTGTACGGTGATGGCGACATACAGTTGCTTCAGTTCAGCACACAAGATGTTATGTTTAGCTTCATTGAAGCTCGGGAAGGACCTAGGTGACGTGGTCAAGCAAATTTTGTTCCTTCATATATTCATAAATCACTCTCCATGGATTCTTAAGATGGTGAACCAAAAAATTGTATAAACGTACATCCTGAAAAAAATAATACAAGTCATTAATGAAAAAAATTTAGACATAGAAGTTACTGAAGATAAATAAGGACTTGGTAATCAATGAAATCTTTCCAGACCATCATTTAGGTTTTAGCAATCAAATCCCTCCTCATAATTTGAGGAGGGGATTTGATTCTAGTAGAAGTTCAATCTTATTTTAACTAGGAATAGTTGCCAGGAGTGCAAATCTTATATTATTACCTGCATATGCTTCTTACACTGCCCACGCGAAAGATGAAATAATGACATTAAGGAAATAGTCTGAAACTTTCAAGTTTTAACTATCTCACAAATGACCATTCAGTAATAAGATCAAAATGATTATAGGATACTAACACATAGAATAAAATGGTATATTAAAGACAAACTCTTTGTTTATTCTCCAATAATGACAAAGACTTTTCAATAAAAAAGAATCACCTGAAATTCAAGGCCTTTGCTCTCTACTATGGTCAAAACAAAGCTTATATCCCACACAGTCAGAAAAACCTTCCGAGCACAATCATCTCGTACTAATATCACCTGCTCCGCTCCAAACAACTACATTGCCGCCACATTTCACTCTTTCCAAAAATTTTTATGATTGCATTTTCGTTCCCAGATTCAAGCAAAATGGAGATTCCCATATATCATAGTAGTCTCAGGTTTAAAACATCACATGAGAAAGAAACGGTAAAGAAGATCAATGATGCTCTGAGCTAACTTCAATACACCTGCATGGTACGGAAGTTCTGGCTCAAATTAAAAATTTTTGAAGTTGCCCTTTCTGTTCTCTGCATCATTTCATTGCTTCTTGATTCCAGTACAAACTTCTTGGACAATGTCGTATTCTTCAAATTTGAAGTCAATTCCCCTGGCAATTGTTTGTGCTGTATCACCAGAAAAACAAAACCCTCTTCCACATTTTTGCAGATATATTTGAACGAGCAATTTGGCTCATTGTAAGATCCTGCACCTCATCGACATAAACAAATGAATTTGATCTCGACTGTTTTCTCTTTTTAAGTCGATGATGAAGATCAATTACTAAATCAGCCAAACAAAATCCACCATTTTTCATCTTCATTCTCTCATAGTTTTGAAATATCCATATATCATCTCTCTTTGTTGCTGCTCAAAATGGAAACTCTACCCTCTGATAATTGGACATAACTTCTCGACTCAGTTTACCGTCACCAAACTCCATGGATCGCAGGCCTCCTTTTATGTGATATAATCTCAGTGAAGACCCTTGAAGATCAACTTCTTTGTTAGTTTCTCCATTAAAACGGGGCCAGTAAAAATACTAACCTGTCATAACTAACTTCCTTGTCCTCATAATTGTGTATAGGAATCTGATCTTAAACTCTGATTTGGCCAGAATGTTTCCATTGTCTGGAATCTCTCAAAATATGAATTGCCCATTGTCCATCCAGCATCATCAAGAACTTTGAAATGTTAAAACAAGAGGGTATGATTTAGGCGGAATGTCTACAAAAGAATTTGGGATATCTTTGAATGCGCTGCATCATCATATCATCCATGTCAAGAAACTGCCTTCTGCAAGAAACTTCTCACCCAGGGCGGAGCTGCACGCATTCCAAGTACTATCATTACCCCAACCTTAATGAAATAGAAAAGCAACTGCAAGCTATTCTTAGGAAACCCACAAACCTTTTCAAGTGAGAATGTGTTGCTTTACAGCAAAACCAGTTAGGACTGACTGTCACAAAAAGTTGGCGCAAGATATCCGTTTCTCCTCTCCAAGGCCCTTCTCGCTCATTTGTCTGGGTAGTATGCAGATGCTCTGATATCAACTCCATAGATCCTTTAGTTGCCATGTGATGTTTTGCTTTCTGAAATAATTTCATGGTCAACACAGTAGTTTTCCCTGTACCTGACCGACCAAGTATGAAGGTGCTTCTGGAAAAGAATCATCTCCAACTGTTCTTCTGTTACTTCAATGGAGATCCAATTCTCTCCATCACGGTCGGAAAGTAGTGTTCACTACACCTGATGATAAAGAGTAGAATTTCATCAACAACACTATCAATCACCTTCGAATTCTCAACATAACTCATACTGTCTGAAGCAACTCCCCTTAAGTCACTTCCACTCTTACTATCACAAGTTCTTGAAACGAACAATTTCTAAGAGGCTGCCCAAGTCTTGGAACTTCCAAATTCCTAGTCAACAAAATAATAAAAAACCAATGAAATGTTTGCCAGTCAAATAAGAGGAAACAATATATTTTCTCAACAGAATTGAAAGAGTAGACTACCCTTCAATTTTTTTTTCTCTTTGCAACGATTGAGTAATCATCAGTGTACCTAACAAATATCATCCAAACGTTTACCAATTTTGAAACATCCTCCAAAGGCATATATTCCCAGACTTTCAAACTTGCTTGTATTTGATTCCTTTACTATGTCAATTGTGCAAATTGATAGAGACCTCACTTTGAATCTTAATAATGTCGAAGACGCTTCACAATAGAATCTATGTTCCTCCTTTAGGTCGCCACCACTTGAAAGTTTCAGTAGAGGTTAATAATTATTCTTTTGCGCGGTTTGACTTCTTTTTTAAAAGGATTTCAAGAATTATCACTAAAAAAACCTGAGAATAAGTTAGAAAATGATCACTCAACAAATATTGCACTAACCATGGTAGGATTGTTGGCAAAGCAAGTAAGCTATGGAAAATATATACCTTCCATTGGTTTCTGAAAGTATACTCAGCATCCAGCATTTATCCAACTCATCAAGCTCTTTTTTGGCCTCTTATGCTTTGGCCATATCCTTATCTTCATCAGCATTAAAGAAACAACGCCGTCTTAGCATCGGGATTAAGATTTCAAAACAAATTCACCATGAGTTAAGGTTCTTTCATTCCCCAAATCCATAACAGTGCCTAGAGCAGGGACAGTAGTTATTCACCATAGTTAGTAAAATGACCAAACACAATGAACAACATTTACATTATACCTAGCCCTTGTAAGCGCGACGTTGATTCTCTGTGGCTTGGACAAGAATCCAATGGACCACTCCTGTTACTTCTCCCAGTGGATTAAATAACGTCCTCCTCTCCTCCTGAAACCCATCAATTGACTTCACTTTTACAGTAAAGCCGTCACTGTTCTCATATTGCCTCCAGTTTTTCTTGAATTGCTCCCACTTGAGCACTGTAGGTGAACTGCCATGCTCAGCTTCTTTTTTGAGCCCTTCCATCTGCATATTATGAATTACCATGATATAAAGGAGATCAATCGAATAGTTTTCATTTGACAATTTGAAACACTTCATTTCATTATATATGATTCATTATTTAAGTTTGTAAAACTCTTTTTCTTCATCATATTTTTACAAGCAAGACATAATACAACATTAGTACAGCATGAGAAATTAGGTAATCAGTTGAAAGCATGAAATATTTACCACATTAGCCATTGACAGAATCACACTTTTTTGATTTCCTTTGCAGAATTAGATGGTTCTACCCTTATCAATAATTTTCATTACTATAAGTATATAAGATACTTCCCATCATGAATAAAATTAGGCTATTAATTAATTACAGGTAACGTTGCTGAACAACCAATCATACGTTCATAAAAGTAGACAATAGAAACCAGTATTGTGTTTCTCAAAAGGAAATATTGGAATTAAATGAATCACATCCATTGAATAAGCTGGATGACAAAATGAAAATCAATTAAGTTTAGATGGTAATATAAATGTGAGAACACATACCTTTGTACAGGTTCTGCAATATTTTCATCACAACTGCTACCTCAACCATATTTCTCCGCCAGACTGTGAACTCTCTCTCCCTCAATATGTTGATGAGAATATGGACCAAACATTGGTGATCCTGGCAAAAAGCTTTTTCGTAGCTTTTTCTTTTACATCCGCGGAATCTAAAATCTGGTTTTATAGAATATGAATTTGAAGTAGCTAATAGAGGGGTGCATTCGATATTGCATATTGAGCAGGTGTCTAGAGTGCCCCAATGAGCTCAACCTCTCGAATAACTTCTCCCGAAACCCTTCATCAGAAACCTGAAAACAAAGACGAAACAAATTAGGAAAACTAAAAAGAGAAGCATGCCAAATACATAGAAATCGGTAGAATGTTGAAACAACATCAACATACATTGCTTGCACCATTGCTGGCAATTGGCACTCTCCCCAATGAGAATGTATGCTTTAAGCCCAGGAGTTGCAGCGGTATTGTCGACTCACTTTCTTTTAGTTGTGCCGCTTCATCAATGACCAGAATGTTCAGTGGTTCCATGGC